ATGTACTGTACGTGCAAATTCACTTTTTCATAATTATTCTAATGCTCATATTTTGTTGAATTAATGTCTGCGTAAAGTATACTATTACTAAGAACCATAATAATTAATACTCCACTCAACGACTGCGTCACATTACGAGTTAAGTACAATCATTGCGTAATTAGATCACTTGTCTTATGATGTCAGGAAGCAGTGTGTGTTCTTGGCTGGCGCGACCCGTGTGGAACCGTGGTGTGGACGGACGGGGGGTGAGGGAGGAGGTACTCTCACTTTGTCAGGTATACAGTCAGTCATTTAACCAGTCAGTCATATTTAATCAGTCAGTCAGCCAGTTAGTCAATCAGTCTTTTTGTCTAACACTGATATATTTAAAAAGTTATAGTCTGTCATTCATAATGAGTCATTTAAAGAGTCAGTGTGTCAGTCATTCAGTCAATCAATCAGTCGGAAAGTCAGTTGTTTTAGTCAATCAGTTTATCATTTAGTCAGCCAGTCAATAATTTAGTCAGTTATTTTGTCAGTTAGTCAGTCAAAGCAGTCAGGTTAGTTTGCTAATCATTCAGTCAGTTAGTCATTCAGTCAGTCAGTCAGTTAATCAGTTAGATATTCAGTTAGTAATTCATTCAGGTTAGCCAGTTATTCAGTCAGTCAGTCATTCAGTCAATCAGTCAGTTAGTCATTCAGTCAGGTTAGCCTGTCATTCAGTCATTCAGTCAATCAGTCAGTTAGTTAATCAGTCAGTTTAGCCAGTCGTCCAGTCAGTCAGTCATTCAGTCAATCAGTTAGTCATTCAGTCAGTCATTCGGTCAATCGGTCAGTTTGGTCATTTAGTCAGTTTGTCAGTCATTCAATTAAGTTAGCCAGTTATTTTTAGTCAGTCATTCAGTCAGTTAGTTAGTTAGTTAGTCAGTCATTCAGTCAATTAGGAAAGGCGTTCATGGAGCTATTGATGCAACAGAATAAAATACAGGACAAAAAATAATAATACCAGTTACAACACCAAATGACAAGATCAATAATTACAGTAATGTAGTATAGCCCCCGTGTTGTGGCCTTGTACTGTATGACAAGATCAATAATTACAGTAATGTAGTATAGCCCCCGTGTTGTGGCCTTGTACTGTATATCCTAAGTTTTTTCCTCAGTATTAGCTATTTGTAATAATTTTCGTAAGCTTGAAATAAATGATTCTGTGGCTTGATTATCGTGTCGTTCCTCTCATAAAAGTAAGACGCACAGATGTTAAGTGTAATAAGTACGCTGCCAGCTTATAGTATCGCAGTAGAAAAATATGTAATTGTGTATTTTGTTCACGTCCAAGTTGACCATAAAGTGAGAGATAGAAATAGGAGGGATTAAGACGCGACAGAGACGAGGTCAGCAGGTGCCTGAGTCCCCCGCATGCGGCAATAAAATATTCCCGCAGTGCCTCACGCCGCCACTCTCCGCTCTCCTCATGCTGTCGTCAAAATGAATATAATAGTTCATTTCAATAGCACATATTCCCGTACTATAAAACATTTTTAAACACTTAAAGAAAGGATTTTGATGTAGTGTGGAGAGGGAAGAACGCTGTTACTGTACATCTACGTTAGTGAATATGGAAGCTAGAGGCTAGGAATTTGAACAATGCACAGCGAAGTGGGGTATCGACGCTGTGGTCTGGCCGTGACACGGTCTGCCTGCCGCCTACCACCACTCACCCGCCAACACAACACACCATAGCTCTATCCTTACTCCTGTCCCCCTCAAACGTAATAGCAAACCATATTTTATTGATGAAAATACGCATACAACGTATTCCCAGCACAGTAACAGTAAAACATGGAGAGCAGGTGGCTAGGACAGGTAGGATGGGGGACGAAAGAATCGGCAACGTCCAAGCTCATAAATTAATACAAATATCGACTCCTGGAGCAGCGGGAGTCATTCTGCGTTCAGTCACGGAGGGGTGAGGACTGCCGCTCTCGCTCCGCTTCACCTGTGTATGTGCGCCTCCCCAGTGTTGACCTAGCAACTTGTGGTCGTTTCTAAATTCTCCCTGACACTTATACACCTCTGTAGAAGAGATAAATGAGCGGTGTTCACGTGTCAGACCACTGTCAGAATTAATAACTGTACCAATATGCTTCAACCGCGAACAATAAGTCAGAGAGAAGTATGGCGAGCACCAGAATAGCTAGCTTGTGGCCGTTGATCTAGTGTACAGTATCTAAGTGACTACAAGCAGGAACGACTAGCGTCCTCGTGTAGGCCAGTGGTGGTGTAGTGACGGGTGTTGATGTGTGTGTATGTATGTGTGTGTGTGTGTGTGTGACCGCGTGGGCCGTGTCCTGGTGACCAACTGACAACACAAGCGTTGGGAACCGCCGTTCTATGCTCTTTAGTGTCGGGCGGCCCCGTCAACGCTGCCGATAATATCTGGGCCCGTGTGTACCTGTGCAAGTGCCAAGGGTTACTTCATCTGGCGGAAACTTCTTGCTCTCTGATCTATGGGTTACCCCTTACCCATTGACTACTGATTTATGGAATTACCCTTATCCATTGAGTATTGATTAATGGGATTACTTTGAACCTATAGACTGCCATCGAATATGGTTATCTAAAAATCCAATTGATGACTTAATACTGGTTACTATTAATGAAACAATGGTATTTGCTGGCATGAATCATACACACCGTTTATCTGCAGAAACCAACAAATGATCAGTGTATAATTAAGTCCAGTATAACCAAGAACAGTCGCTAAAACAAAGAATCGTAATATGACTCTCATATGTTTGATCCGAGTGCAATTCCAGAGCTTAAAGTGAACCCACGCGAGACTATGCATTATTCATCAGTAATCCAGTAAGTGCTATGATCGCGGGTGTACACAAAGCCTGATTACTGACCAACGACAAAAGGAAACAAAAAACAGTGAATAACCCTCGAATGTGTTTCTATAGCTGCTGAGAAACGAACTTGAAGAAAACTGTTGGGTCATATTCTGGTTCTTACTTACAGTGTGTGATGTAAGGAATGTATGCCACGGAGTTGTGAGGGGTAGCACCCTCGTGTGAGGGTGTGACGCCCGTGTGAAAGGTAGTACAGTACGCTCGTTTAAGGGGTGCGGCGACCGTGTAAGGGGTAACACGCCTTGTAAGGGGGTGGCACTCCCTCGCGAGGGTTACCACGAAAAGGACCAGTCTGGAGGGGTGCCACTGGATTCACTCCAGTGTCAGGGTTCCGATACTCGTGTAAGAGGGATCATCCCTCTATAAGAAGAACCACGCCCGTGTGAGAGGCACAACCAAGATGACACGGGCGTAGCGGTGACAAAACATCTCTCTTTAATGCAAGTCTTCAGCGAGATCTCCCGCCTCTTCAAGATGGGGATCTGTCTGGATACAGGTGAGGTAATTTAACAATGATCACACATTGGTAAATAAATGACTTGTTTGTCATTTAAAACAACTTGTTTACCGATTTTGTTAAGCAATTTATTTTCCAAGATTAGTTTTCGTTATGAATGGTAATGTTTCACAACCTGAAAAGGCTTGGGTGAGTACTGTATATTGGATTTTCTGAGAATCGTGAGTTAAATATTTTACGCACGTAACTGGGCTCTCCTCAACTATGACCAAAGGAAAGAGGCTGTAATGGCGTCTAATTTGCATTAAGACTGCCATACGTTCTCTCAACTCCAGTTGAAAGGTTAAATTGACCTATAGTCACCTTGAGGCTTCGAGCCATAGAACATCGTGAGGTGAAGTGCAGCTTACTTCTCGTGGGAGCAGTATTCGTTATCGCCCTTGCGTTGTATCAGATATTCCAAAAAATGTGGTAGTACTATGATAGTTTAAAGATGTTTTCTGGATAATGAACGTTGTCTTTGTATGCATTAGGTGTAGTAGGATAAAGTTCTTTGAGTTGAAAATCCTGCTTAGGGTAAATGCATTCTTGTCGTATATATGCAACACCAGTTAAACAGCCATTTTCTCAGTCCTTCGGGAGGTAGGTGAACACGTTCGGAAGCTAGATCCCACACATGAATGAGTTTATTAAACACCTTTACGAGGCCTCTAACACCAGTCGTACATCTTTGATCCATATGACTGCTGTGAGAGGCCTTGGAAACAAGTCCATTCAGGTGTGGGAACTAAAATTCCCGAGCGTGTTCACACAGCTCCTGAACGACTGAGTAAACGGCTGATAGTGTTTAGGGAATGTTACCTAAACGAAAAGACCTCAACGACCTGAAATTATTTTTGTCTAAAATGGTTTTGCCTTTTACCTATCTGTTTTTCGTTACTTAGTTATTATATTTTCCATCTTGGATTCCTAAATATAGCAAATTTAACCCCAAATTTCTCCTTATGGATTCCAAAATTGCTTAAATTGAATTATATATAAAAAAACTTAATCAGTATAACTATATAAATTTCTCACTGGATACCCAGTTACCCACTCATCTGAAAATAGAAGATTGCTATTAACGATGGTCTCTGAGCAAGCCACCAGGCACTGCTGCTCCTACTGGGATGGAGTAATCTTAGTATAAGGACAGCTCATTCGCCAGACTTACAAAAAGAATGTTGGCATAAAACGTTCCCAATATAAACGGTTACAATGGCGGAATGTTTATTTTGCAAACCATTGGTCCATAGGTAAATCCTTGTTGAGGCAATATGCGTTTAGATAGTCTGTTGAAACAGTGCCAGTACAGTATTATAACCACATCACCACGCCTTGTAGTGAAATCTCAACTGGTTCACAAATATACAGTATCTCTCAACGTGTCTGTGATATGCGACGTCAGGCCCAGGCGACAGACCCCGTGAGATAACTCGTAATTTCCAAGGATATAGGTCACATTGTCGGGGTTTGCCTCTCCTAGGTCTTTTTTTCACTGCCCGTCTGCCTTCTTGTCTTCCTCTCTTACCTCTCTCCTCTCTCACCCCGTAGAGCCAAAATCTTATAATTAATCCGAATATATCAGGTCCCACCGCAGTAAATATCGGGAAGAATAAGTAGTACAAACACCTTCGATTTATCAACATATGTAATGAGTTTACTGACACCTCAACCCCGTGGCTCAACATACCTGCCAGTACTAAGGAAGTTGTGTTACTTGCAGTCATATAAATTAAAAACTGTGATAATCAGGGCGAGAACAGGAACCTGAAATGCATACTGGCTGTGAGACTTAGTGAGTTAATGAGCATTATTCGAGTTGGAATGACGTTGTTAGAAATGGCAACTCAGGTTAATGAAAAAGGTGCAATGATCCTTAGTACTAGAATACCAGGTTTATTTTTGTTTTACGAGTGGGGATGGGTTTTTTTTTTTTTTTGCATCCTTCATTTCACAATTCTAACAATGAACAGAAAAGGCACTGGAGATGTTACCTGTGCCATATTACGAAAAGGTAATTGATTTTCAGTTTATGTGAATAAATCATAAATAACTGACTCGTGGGTGTCTCCTTCCCCTATGAGAGAGAGAGAGAGAGAGAGAGAGAGAGAGAGAGAGAGAGAGAGAGAGAGAGGAATATGGAACACATAAGTTGGTAGCACACATAATATTCTCATAACCCGTTCACTTGGTTATAATGCATTTTTGTTTTATTTTCTATAATCTCCTAAATGTTTTCCTTGTTTTAATTATTATTGTTAGTAGTATTGTTAATAGTATCATTACGTTTATTTCTCTGAGGCGGACACACAAGATTGGTCTTTCTAGTAATAGGAGCAAAGAGTGTCTAGGACAGGACATTTTATTCCGCGGATCGTCAAATGTGTTAGTAACAGTTGAAGGTTCCCCCGCCTTAGCAGCTGAAGCACAACTTATAGGCCAACATTACCTCAGTGTACGCTAGTTTAGTATTACCATTCGTTTCTTTTTCCCCATCTAATAAAATTGCGCCATAGTCTTCCTCGTCTAGTATTTTGCAGAAAATACGTTGCTGTTTTTTACCCTACATACAGAGAGTTCTATCTTTTCATCCACTTAAAAAAATAATGTGTACCTGGTTAAAATTTAATCTTGTGCTTGAACAATCTAAGCAATGTATTTAGTCGAGGAGAGATTATTTAATTATTAATCATCTTCCCAACGCCCTTAAATTGACACTGCAACGATTCACACACACACACACATATATATATATATATATATATATATATATATATATACACATATATATATATATATATATATATATATATATATATATATATATATATATATATATATATATATATATATATATATATATATATATATATATATATATATATATATATATATATATATATATATATATATATATATATGCATCCTCTTAACCTCTCCAGATTTTCTAAACCACATTCATTAATTCACACATTCTCTCTAAATTTAGGGCTAACCAGGTGTAAATAATACCCCCATAACATCCAACGTATAATTGTTTATTTATATCTGTTTTGTGCTAATACATTTTCTTATAATACTCCACAATCATACCCACAATGCCCTTGAGGTTGTGGTGCCCTCAAGTAAGAAGCGGAATTTCTGCGTTTCAGAGTATTAAAAAAATATTATAGGATTGTGTGCACCAAATTGAAAAGAACTAACACCTAAAAATACCTGATCAGGAGTTATTCTACTCCAGATAAACAAAGAAAAGGGAATACTGTATCATAAAGATCACTGTCCCCTACTATAACTTCGAGTAAGTTCACAAGTTTGGTGTTTCTTTAAGAAACACTCTTAGAATATTATTATTATTATTATTTTTATTATTATTATTATTATTATTATTAATATAATATTATTATTATATTGCACATTTCATTACCTGCAAGAAATATGACTTTCCAAGTTTCATCAGTAAAACCAACATTTTCATTGCCTCACTGTGACTGTCAAGAACTGGCAATCCCCGACCAGCAGTCCAACACAAAATAGAATCCAATTTACATTACATCCATCAAAATCTATCTAATTATAGCCGGTTAATTATATCGTACATTAAGGTGTTTCCGTTACCACTGCAGGTAGTCACGTTACCTGAACTTGGTCGTAAGATATTTTTAGCGTTCCTCAAAACACAGAGTCATTCTTATCACACGTGTAATCAGAGTTCATTAACGTGTTTTAAAAAGTCTTGCCAGACCTTTAGGCTCGTTTACTTTAACTACGGTGATGGAATTTCAGTCTTCAGCTGGAATGTGTATGACCTGTCAGGACATGATATGCTATATTGGACCCTAGCTAGAGGTGTGGGGCTGGGTGGAGGATGTACACTAGAGGGTTTTACTAGGCGTTATAACTTGTGATTGTAAAGTGCCGTGGTAGGGTGATTATTGTACAGGGACTTGTAACAATAAGTCAGTGGTTCCAAGTTCGGATTTCCTTGTGTGGATATGATATTGCTGTTGAATACGAAGTAGATATCCTTCCTTATCTAATTTAGTGATTTATTTTGGTATTTGTTTTATGTCAGTGCTTTGGATTCTGAGTACTTCTACATTTATTTAAGTTTACATTTAGGGAAAATATTACATTAACACTTTCTCTAAGCGTCGTATTGATTGTTCCAGGAAATTGGTTGCCATGGTGATGTGTTCATTGTGTTGAGTGGAGTGACACTGAGTCCTGGGTGTACCACTCTAGGCAACAGGAGTTTAGACAGTTGAAAAGCTTGTAAATTGTAGTGAAATAATTTGTCTAACATTATGGAAAAAACTATACAAACATCTCAGTAATCAGAGTCCTTTAAGCAAATTGTCCTCTTTAGTGAATGTGGATGAAAAAAGATTAATTTAACATGTAAAAATAGGTTTGAAAATAAAGGCTTCAATATCTAATGTACAATTATAGCTAACTAGGGCCGTTTCCTCTAATACCTGCGGTCCTGATTACTATGTATAACCCCAACGAATCTGAGCACCCATAGAGATGTTAGTCCCTACCTTCTTCCTTGGTCATGGTCCACGTCGGGTAAGTGGTACGGTACAGTTGGCCTCGGGTCTGTCGTGTCATGCTACCAGTAAATTATTCAGGTTTGATAAAAAAAAAGAAGTCCGCATTGATAAACTGTCCTGGTCGAGGTTTCACTGTATAGGTCAATTTAATAGTTAGCTACAGTCTAAAATCACTACTAAGGTATAACATTATATTAGGATACCATGCTCTACTGGTGAACCACGTATCACATTAACTCATCAAGCAATTTGTATTTTTATTTAAACAGTGCGGAAAGCTTTTACTTTTACATTAGTACATTTTATCCTTAGTAACATTAACTTTAGTAATATTATATAGTACATTTTCCAGAACTTAATGTAACCACCGGGTTGTTGTATATCAAGACATAGGGACGGAAATATACTGACTGTCTCAACCTTGACTGCCGTAGCTACATC